TGATGAGCAAGAGTGCCTCTACCAAAATTGTGAATTTTATGGCCCCAGGGTCAGGGGTTCTTGTGTTAGGGCGGGGCTCTATTGATTATATAGAGAAAATACATGAATTCTTTGAAAATCTTCTTCTTTGCTCCTGGGTATTAAATAAACTAGCTAAGTACATAGTTATGATGAGCAAGAGTGCCTCTACCAAAATTATGAATATTATGGCCCCAGGGTCAGGGGTTCTGGTGTAAGGGGGGGGGGCTATATTGATTATACATGTATAGTGAAAAAAACATTAAATCTTTGAACATTTTCTTCTTTGCACCTAGGTTTTAAGCAGATGAACTACCTATATAGTTATGAGCAAGGGCCCTAATCTTCAAGAATTGTGAATTTCAAGGCCCCACGGTCAGTTGTGCCATAGAGGGGGGGGGGGGGCTGTACTTATATACTGAAAATGAATGAATTGTTTGAATAGTGCTTCTTGGTATTAATCAAATATTTTTGAAAAGCATGAATGCCTTTCCAAAAATTGTACAATGTGTGGATCTAGGCCTAAGAGTCAAGGGTTCATGTGTGGTAGCGACACTACTCATTATTGCTGAATATTACTGATTTGTTGAAATGCATTTTTTGTTCCCCTACCCTGCCTATGGGTATTAAGTAACAAAACTAAGGAACTGCTACGTGTATAGTTATGATGACCAAATTGTAAAAGCTTAAGCATCTGGCTTAAAGCATGGATCAAATTCAATCACTGGAAAGTTGTTGAATAATGCTCAGGTGACCTATAAGGCCCATGGGCCTCTTGTTTCAGTTTGTTACAAACTACACATTTTTGGAATTATTTATTCGAACAGTTTAGTAACTCGACTTCATATTCATGCTCCATAGACTTAATTATACAAGTTATTTTTTTAACAACAGTTAAAGTTTATCTTGTCTAATACCAATGTTCTTTATTTTGAAATCTTGCCTCCGATGCTTTTATCTCAATACATTCAATTGTAAAATATGTTATGCGATCGAAAATGTTGTCTTTGCCTACCAATTTGTTTGAAATTGGTAGTGTTCGGATTAGACAAGATTCATTGTATAATCATCAGTGTATACAAACAAGTCAGTTCTACTGTTGATAGACCATGTAAAACTTTTTAAATACGTACCTTAGGCTTATAGTTTTTATTGATTTCCTGTAATTCCGTCAAAATATCTAAAGATAATTTATAATTAGTTTCCCCCTGTTTTATTGGTAATAACAGGAAATAAATATTTATGAAAAGGAAAATACAGTAGATATTCTCTAGCCCATAATCGGGGAATCGAATAACTATCATATGGGGTACGTATATTACTATACTCACCGTCAATAGAAACGCAACACCTTAATTTTAGAGTGAAAATTATATACAGGTTATAACAGTTTACTATGTACCAAAAAAGTTAGGACATCTTTTACTTTGCCAAATCAGTTATATAACGGTTGAATGAATTTCTTTCCATTACCGGAAGTTGCTTTTTAGACCTCTTAACAGAATTCAAAATTTTTCATTTTTGATGAAATTTTAACAATATTTTGTTAAGAGGGCTAAAAAGCAACTTTCGGTAATGGAAAGAAATTCATACAACCGTTAAATAACTGATTTAACAGAGTAAAAGATGTTCTAACTTTTTTTGGTACATAGTTATTATATCCTGTATTTAATTTTCACCCTAAAATTAGGGTGTTGCGTTTCTATTGACGGTGAGTATATAATTTGACTAGTGTAGCTTTCAAGTGCGGAACTTTGGAATAGCAAGAATGCGAAAAACCAGAAACCTATTACGGGAATTTTACGTGGTTAGTAGCAAAAGATCAAAAAGTCATGAACCAAGAAATGTAAATTGACTTCATACATGCCATTGGACAGTATCGGCTAAAATTTTTAAGCTGGTCGCGAAGTCTCTTACAGAATTTTAACCATACATGTATTTACAATAAATTATCCTAAAAAATGTGTATATATAGCTGCAAAGGCGTTCTTAATATTTCGATTATTCATACATCAGTTTTTAATGAAGGGTCGTTTATCGTCGTTACAATCTAGCCTAAACTGAGTTGTCACTGTACTTGATATAATGTATCGATTATCTCGCTAGTCTAACCAAGTTCCCGTCCTGATGATAAACAATATGTGCTCAACATATGTCGTGCTAAGGACGGCGTGTCTTTGGAATCTATTCCTCCAAGTGATTCCAGAACGAGTTACTGAGGAGAAAACTGAGGACTTTAGCTTTGATGGCCTCCCCGGGGCTCAGCATGAATTCAAAATAGAGGTTCCTGCAAGCCAGGAGGAGTGTTTTGTACAGAGAGTGGCACAGAATGCTAATCTTTATGCTTCGTTTGAGGTAGGCGGGCCGTGCATATGTACGTACAGTTAGATACAAAATGCTAAAAGCAAAAACCACGAAACACTATCTGGCGTAGACAATACCTATGAAATACATGTACTATTGTATATATGGTTTACAAGTTTAATTCCAAGATTCTAAAGATTGGTTACAAGGATTAACTATAGTACTTGTAGTTAATTGTAATGTTTACATTACATAACTGTAAAAACAGGGTTAGGGTTAGAAAAAATTTTCTTGGGGTAAAATTTTTTAGGTTGGAGGAAAAAATATTGGTTTGTAGGGATTTGATTTCATTGTTGGAAAATGTTTGCATGTAGTTGTAATGCATATATGAAATTTAGATTTCGTGTTGGTAATGAATTTGTTGGTCCCTCCATACTTCGTAAACAACGAAAATTACACCCCAAGAAAATTAATGATTTCACAGCATTTAAGGATATACTAGTACCTTAATTACCTTAATTACTGTGTCTCAGGTCAAAAAGTAAAACGTCTGTTTCCGCGTGTCGTTCGTACATGCTTTCTACATTTGAAGCTTCTTTTCGAATATATAGATTAATTAACAACGTTCAACTAATTTGGACATAAAATATTTCTTGATAAAAGAATAGTAGAATTTGTTAATTTCGGGGTTCACTTTCTTTTGGGGCATGGAAATGAAACAAAATCTCTAAAATTAATACATTTATACAAATTTATATGAAAAGATAGCCTTATATCAATGTTTTCCACTGTCTACAAGGGTACCGTCATGGTTGAGACACTTATAGTTGATCATGCATCTGAATTTTTCTCGGATACCTTTGCTGACAAGTATAGTATACAAGTATTGTGATATAGAGAAAGCGACACATTGCTACGTCCATATCAGATGATATACTCTATATAACTAGTGTTCATCCTTCATCTATGGATACTAGAATTCCCCGGAACACTTTAATTTATTTTTTTCATCCGGAAAATAAATATATGAATTAATCGTTTTTATTTCATTTAATGAAAAGCATAATCCATGATTCTTGCATTCTTTTTACAGGTTCTTCGAGGCGGTGATCGTATAGTAGACTTTTATGTGAAGGATGGTTATAATAATACGATCAAAGAAATTATTTACAAATCAGAGGGGAGTATAGAATACACGGCTCCTGTCACTGGTATGACTAATATCACAGAGATTCAATATATGCTTTAAAATCTGTATTGAGGTTTTATTGAGTCGATCTGTAGATATTAAACATCACACGGAAAACATGTACTTGCAACATTGATTTTTGGAAGTCATCTAAGAATTTTAAAAAATAAAATCTCAGATTTGGTAATGAACAAAATCATCATACATATGTTTGGACACTGCAATGCATACTGTTGGTTTTTTCAATGGATTTTTCTTCTTGAACAGTTAATATATAATTACTTCTCATGGTAATATGCATAAAATAACAGTTAAGTCCTTGTTTTTCTTTTTATTCCAGGAAATTATCAGATATGTGTTCAAAATATTCATAGCAGATTTTTATCGAAGCTTGTATACATTTACATTGTGACGGTGGTCGAGGAAGAATGGACCAAGTATGTAGCCGAAATAGAGGGATTGCATACAACAGTTCAAAATTTTACGGTGAGACATCTAAACGTTGATTGTGCTGTATTTATTTCAGCATTAGTTGCAACCGTTCATTCCCGTACTAACAATAAAAGGCAATTTATTTATATCTTTATTAAAAAATTATATAGAATTGGATAATGTAAAGATTTAAGTAGGTTAAATATTGTACTATTGACTGAAAAGCAAATTACATAAGAAATCTATACAGGTGACTTGAAAACCGTTCTAACAGGCGTTTGTCGATTGATAAAAAAGTGTTAATTTATAAGAATCTGAGGTGGATGTAATTATCAAGATTAGAATAAAGATTAGATTGTATGAGGTTGCGATGGAATTGCACTAACTTGTTTGTCTGAAAGAAATGAAAATTAACAAGAACAGGGAGTAGAACTTCATTATATGAAAAGTTACAAACTTCTTATACAATTAATTTTTACACTATACTAAATGCCTCCGTATTTATAAATTCCTTGCTTCTTTGCAGACATCCATCTCAGAGGTTCAAAAGTCCATAGACCAAGTCCGATTGCACCAAGCCACTAGTAGAATGAACGTTATAAAGGACTGGTATTTACTGACCGGAAATAATGCTTACGTCATGTATTGGTCCGTTTTCCAGATTGTTTCTATTTTAGCAACATCTTGTTTTCAAGTGTACTTTGTAAGGAAATTATTTAATATCCCAAATGTGACTCCTTCATTCAAACCAAGAGCTTAGAAAGATGACAGCAAACCTTAGATATCAAACGGAAGACTTTTTATTTTATTTCATACACATGTATTATCATTACTTTTATCATTATTGTCCTATCATTGATGTATACATGGTTGATCTTGTCTTATTGCAGAAGTGATGTAACACCATGGAATAAATAAAATCCAAACACCATTTATTTTATAACTTTTATTGCCTATCGACACAGAAGTGTAGGAGCAAAACCAAAAAAAAAGTGATACCTTTTAAAGACATAGATATACAATATGTATATGAAACGTGACCAAAGAAAAATAATAATTTCTCTCAAACAAATCTCTTTTCACCTTTGATGATATTTAAAAATGATAAAAATTGCATTTTGGGGACTCTTCTCTTCACTTTTTTACACAAACAATGAACCAAAACGCACTCAATCGAATGCAAGTACATGTATTTCCATTTCCATATAGGTTATAGCACAATCGTAACCACCAGCCTTTATATCCTCTCTGTATGTCGTACTTAGGACAGAATCTAATTCATGGTTTATTATGTACAGGACCTTTATTTGACAAGCTTTATCTGTTCTAATCACATGATTTCATGCTTTTTTGATAAAATCGAAATTCCACACAAAAAAGTACATTTGAAATATCTCCCTATTTTTAAAAAAGAAATATTTTGGTTGTAGCTGATATTGTAATGTTTCAATGACCAGAGGCAGGCGACTGGAGGAATAGTTGGAGGAAGACAAACATCGTTTTAGAAGTTTCTTTCAAGTAAACAGCTTCTTTTAGATTGGGCTTCATGTAAGACCTAAAACTGCTTCTAGGTTATTTAACGTTACTTTAATTTAATACAACAAAATGAAATTCTTAGGTGTATGAAATATTAAAGTTTATAATCATAACAGAACATGGATGCGACTTATCTGAAGTTAAACTTTAAAAATATTCTGAATAAAAAGTCCATCTTTCAGCCACATCTATTAGAAAAATTACTGTTATTTAGTAATTTGAAATTCGCATTGTTTGTTTTCATTAAGTTGATCTCTTTAAATTTTATCATCACAGTATGAAAAAGATATTCATAATAAGATTAGATTATTAAACACACTTTAAAAATTGTCCAGTTTTTATGAATTTTCAAATCAATAAGTAAAACACTGACTTAATCCCAGAACATTAAAATCTTTGCATGTTGTTACATCTTGAGTATTTCAGAAATTTAAGGTCCAATTTATCACTTTTTTTTCTATTTTATGACGATTGATGAAAAACCAAAGTGACACTAAAAGAATTTCCATTATTAAAAAGAATATGTAGATATTGTTATAATATTTCTTCGTAGATTGTATTAAAGAAATCAAACCGTTTATTCTGTATATTTGATTACCTTCACATTTCCACTCTCAAACTCCACCACCCACAGTCGCCCCAGTGTGTCCACACTCAGAGCTCCAAAGAAATCCAGACAACGAAGAAACTGACCGTCCTGATCAATGATGTGGGTACAGGAATTACCATTATCCTTTACAATAATACGACCCGCGGAGTCTGTGGCAATACTGGCGGGATCAAACTGCTTTTTCATCGTTTGTTGTCCTTTATATCTGAATTGTAGTTTTCCTGCTTTATTCACGACGACGACTACCTCAGCATTGCAATCGCAGACGCAGATATCCCCGTTGTTGTTTTCCGTCACAAAGAGCATATCATTTCCCGCTTTGTATAGTGGGTTACCTTTGTTGTCCCTTTCTATTTCCTGCTTTATTATTTGGCCTTCATAACGTACAATTTTATAATGTTCTTCATCATGTGTACACATACTGACCAGTAAGTCACCTGATTGTGTACAACACAGTCCTACTGGTTCCCATCCCTGTGGTGCTGTGATCTGTGCTGTTGTCTGGTGGACATCATTAATTAAGTTATGAACTGTTTCAGTGTATAGTAGATGCCCTTCTTTTGAAACTGAGATGTCGGTAGGAAATCTCTTACAAGAAGCGGTAATTGTCTCCTGTACAGAACCTTGCATGTTGAAACGAGTGATGTTTTTATTCTGTCCAGATACCCACACCTCCTCTGTATTTAGACATGCTATCCTCATCAACTCTGTTATTCCAGTGTGGAAGGATGCGATTTCTACGGCTTTGTCTAGGAGCTCACTGGATACATCTAATTTGTTGATCAGTTCTGTTTGGATCTTGGGTTCTTCTAGTTTTCCAAACTCTTGGCAAAGTTTACCTTTATCTTTGTCCGTGGAAATAAAAGTCGGTAGTTCCAAATCTATTTGTAAGGGGATCTTTAGATACTTCTCAATATTTCTTTCATATTTTGTGATGTGACTAACGTCCATGGACTGAAAAATCTTTTCGTTCTGTAGAGCAATTTCTTTTAGGCTTTCAAGTGCATTTTTGATTTCTTTCTGGTATTCTTTCAATTTCTTAATGCTATTTTCTCTCATTTCTTCAATGTCTTTCTTGTTTTTCGCCACGATTTCTTCAATGAATCGCTGCCATTTTTGCCCATGCTCTGTGACTGATTGTTCTAATTCATCACATTTAGCATTTAAAGCCGCTAATTTGGATTCTATCTCTGTATCTGCATGTTCAAATTTAGGAATTATATCATCTTTAAGATAAACTGCGTCTTTCTCCATAAGCTTTTTCTTGTCATCAACAATGTCCTTGATATCAATAATTCTATGACCATTATGGGATCCGCTGAGACATTTCAGGCAAACTTCTACATTACAGTTTTGGCACTTTACAGTACACTTCTCTCCACTATGGGCTTTACAGTTTGGAAATAAAAGGTGGAATTTTCTCTCTCGGTATTTGACAATCTCGTGATTAGAGGACGATGACGTCATATAGTGTTTTCCGACGCATTCTTCACATAAGTTGACCTGACAGGGATTACAGTGAAGAAGGGCGGGTCTCCTGTCACAGAGGTGACACAGGATAACCTCTTGTGCTTTAGTTCTACTGGAGGCCATGTTCTGCAGAGAGTGAATCTTCTATCAATTCAATCTAGAAACAGACAAAACAATGAAAAAATTAAAACAAGTGCTTTTTGTTTTGTTTTGATATTTTTGCAATATGAGTGGATTTGGATGTGGCAATAAAGACAAACTAACAACTCAATTGTAGTATAGTATCTGATAGGTAATACTACCTATTTATTAAGCAATTATTGAGCCTCGTTACATTGTTTCTTTGGTTAAAGGCACTTGTACTCAACAGTGAACAAAGCCACGCCCATCAGCTCTGGAAACATCACAACGATTGATGACGACGGATAATGCTCCGAATACAAATTGATAACTGTGAAGAATATGCGAGTATCTTTTAGCATGAATTTTTTTCTTTAAATTCATTTTAAATAAATATATTCATCATATCCAAAGAAAAACATTGTCTATGGAATTTTCTAGGCTAACGGTGAAATTGTTATCCCCAGCTATCGCAGCTTCGCCTCGGTCAATATAAAGTTTTCAATGGATAACAATTTCTTACATTTCACTAAAAAAGTTGTATTTTAATAATACTCGTAATAAATACATGTGTAAAACAAATTCCATTACCTCTTTTATTTCGATATCAAGCTGTCCCAAACCTATATCGTCACAAAATTAACTTTCGGTTTGAAAAGTATGCTACGCCAAATTAACATATATTCAAATATTTGTACATATCTTCAAATAATTGTACCTATCTTCAAGTGAATTGTACCTATCTTTAAATATTTCCATTTCTAATTTTTTTCTCTGTGGTAAGTCTTTGAAAGTTAGGGGAGTTTATTTCTTTATAATTCTGCCGGAATGTAAATTAGGCAGGTTGATAAGTCAGGAGCTAAGGAGGCCTAATAAGCATGCAGATCCCGTGCGCACCTGTCTCTGTGTCTGACGCGAAGGAGGCCAAATATGCATGAAAATCTCGTGCGGCTGCCTTTGTGTTTGACGTCAGCGGGCGATGACTATTGAAATTGGCATGGAAGTCCTCGTGTAATTTAAATCTATTAGTTTAAATTTTTAAAGTCTAAATCTTATTTCACAATGAAAAGGAAATATAAGGAATCACTGTCTAGTTAGTATAGTATGCCAGGGACATCAACGAAAGCGGGAAACATGCGATAATTTATGCATAACGGGCGAAGCCCGTTATGCAAATTATCCCATACAATTGTACCTATCTTGGTTCATTCTAGCTATTCCCACTTTTTGAAAATCAAGTAAGAAATGGTTAGATTTCAAGTGGGAATGTTTGTATAAACAAATAATTAACCATGAAAACAAACAATAACTGTATAAACAATAATTAATGAACATCTATAAAGGACAGGACTGGTATATTTGCTTATATATGATTTACAAACAGATCTCCTTCATATTCCGTTTATACGATCAATCAATGCGCAAAATAGTATAGGATGGGGCTGAAATTAAGTCCAGAGTATTTTTAATAAATAATCTATTTCAAAAGTTTGTTAATTTAAAAAAAATTATCAATGCTTAAATTTTTTTTTACTTAATATGCTTTTAAAGATTTCATCCTTTACTTAAGCAAGATTGTAAAAAAGAAGGAATTATTCGAAATTAAGTAGTTGTAAAAAATGCAAATGTGTGATATCAGTAATTCAAATAAGTTAATGAAAGGGGATAAAATCAATTCAAATAGGTGATATCATCTTTTATCTGATGATATCACCTACATGATCTTTTTATTGGATATTCAACTGATTGCTGTTTTGCCTGATATTATTTACAAAATTATGATTTATGTTATTGATTCGAGTTTCTTAAAATATATTGTGTTTAAAGTCGTGAAAAACACTTTGATTCGGTCATAGATATATCGACTTCACAGAAAGAATACAGACTTTACACTTCTCTCTCATTCTATATGTTTTTCTGTGAAATCGACATATCTATGGATCGGCCACATGAATACTATATTTGTATAATATTTCAAATTAGTTAATATGCCAATTCGAAAAGGTGAAATTGTCTATTCGAATAGGTTTGAATAAGTCATACAAACTTTTTATACCCCGCCTGAAAACTGGGAGGGTATATACATGTAATCGGGATGTCCGTCCGTCTGTTACGCTTTGGGATTCCCATCTATCTGCAACTCCTCTAATACCAATGAATGAAATTTGTTGAGACTTTCGCTGAATCCTTATTACATATTGCCATTGTGCACCTCTTTTTTTTTACTTTTTGATCCAAAATATGTTTTGGGTTTTCCATAGCAAAATATGGACACTGACATTATATTCATATGGGAGGCGGGGCACTATTTAGTGAGCTCATTGGTCACAATGCCTCTAGTTACATGTTATTTGAATGTTTAAATATGTGATATCGCTATAAGGCAATAAATACCAAAACAGCTCTTCATAACATTTCATTAAGAGGTCGGGGGATGATCACTTTATGACTATATCTATCTCCTTTAGACAAACAACACCATATGAAAATATTCAAAAAAGATCAAATTTTGAAATTAAATTAATTGAATTTTTACTCTCCCAAGTGATAGTTGAAAGCTTTAAGATACCATATTCAAAACATGAAGAATCTGGTGGATAATTTGTTGAATTCCAGGCTCCTTAATGTTAATGTTTTTTTTTTTTTTTTGGTGAAATGCCTGCCATTTAAGTAGGGTGACGTTTAATTTTGGAAAAATAAACTTAATTCTAGTATAAAATTGAATACTATATGTATAACTTTGTGTTTTATATACTTTCATTTTAAGAAGTCAGATTAACTTTGGCAAAAATGACTATATTACCCTACAGCGTGTAACAGCTACACCCACCGGCTCCAGCTAAAAGCTAGGCCCCCTAATCCAGATACTGGTATATATCATATTACAGCGCAACAGGTACATTAAAAATATGCATGACAACATGTAAATTTTAACTGCGAAGAATGTTTGCATGTACGGTTCATGTGTCATGTGTGTCATTTTTTTCGTCAATTCATTTTCAGTGTATAATTTCAGAAATTTGAGTATAATAAAATATTCGATTTTTATAGGGTAACATCGGGGACGTTGTGCTCCGCATCGTTTTTTAAAGGAGACGGCCACAGAAAAAAAATCAATTTACTTGTAAAAAAAATCGACCAGCAAAAAAGAAAAGATTCCTGTTCAAACTCGAAGATCCCATTTCGTTATGGTAGAGGTATGTGGGGAAAAGTGGTTCCACCACCTTTCAGTACCAAAAATTTTATTGCCCTTATGTCCAACCGGTATTTCAATAAATAATCAAAAGTAAAAAGCTATTTTTTTAGAAGAAAAAAGGTGTTGTCCCCAATCCAATGGCCAACTTGTCGCTACGCGCCTGAACATTTTTAAATATTGGCTACTCCTCGGTTAATATACTTGTAATAAATCAAACAATATTTTACCCATCTGTTTCAAAATCTGCTGCAAAGTTAGATTGACATAAAATACACTGTAAACTTTTGGATTAAAAACGTTTTAAAGGGTTACATTACTAGAATTTCGCAGAATTTGACACGCCTCGAAAATTCATGATTTCAGTAAATAACATTTTCACATGTTATCCTAAAAATCGTATATTTTTATAGAATAATTTATATAAACCAAATACTTTATTTACCTTTTGTCCATTTCAGCCTGAATTTCTTTTGCCACGTGCACAATTAACTTTTTGTTCGCAAAGCTTTATTTTGTTTATGTAGTTAGAGTTGTTTCGCTTCCTACAAGCATGTAACAAGGTAACTCCAACAGAAATTTAGCCTAAGTCTGTATAAAAAAAATACTTCTCTGTTAAAGGGGAGAAAGATATTTTTTCTGGTACAACGGTAAAAAAAAAATTAAAGAATTTCTATGAAATTGAAAATCAAAATCCATCTATCACAGCTGGTTGCAAGAAGTGGATTGAATTATTTGAATTGGATAGCAAGGAATACAAAATAATTCATTATTTACCATTTTAAGGTATAAAAAACTCCAGTGGTTTCAGTACAGAATTCTAAATAAAATATTGGCAAGTAATTAATTTTTTTATTCAAAATCAAAAAGAGCTTCTAAGCACTGTAATGTTTGTCAAAGAAGAGAAGAGACAATTGAACATATATACTATGGGAATGTGATCTTGTAAAATCACTCCTTGAATGCTTTGAATATCATCTCCAGCAGATAAACATTCAGTTGCCCATAACAAAAATCATTTATTTTAGGTATTGGAGGAATAAATATTGAAATAGCCAATATCTTAATTTTATGGTTAAAATATTATATTTATACATTCTTCTATATTTTATAAAAACCTCTAAATGTGCAGTCTGTGATATTACATTTGAGTCATTTTTACCAAACACAAACAAATCCTTGAATCTTAGGAAAACACACATGTGAAGTACATGTGTGCATATACGTGTATTACGTTTCTATTGCTACCATTTGCTTTGATATATTTACCATAGACCTTAAGATTCTTTAAACCGACTTACTGAAGATTTGGAGTATAAAAAATAAAATTTTAATTACATGTTGTACAATTTAATATATTCGATCAGTGCATACTATCTTTTCAAAGCTATCTCATAACATGTTCTAAATATATATTTAGTTCCATATGATCAGCAGATACAACATTATAACAGTTGTTTAGAGATTCGATGTGTACATGTCCTGTAAAAAGCTTTTGATTAATTTTTACGTTTCAAAATGTTGCGAATGACCACTACTTTGTTTACATTTTCTTATTGTTGAATTGTTTTTTTCGAAAAATATTTTTGCGAATTCAATGAACTCGCAAATGTGCTAAAAATTTATATACAGCAAAAATTTCCAGATTAGCGGTATATAATACGTTACAGAAAAGAAAATCAACGTAAAAATGTTCGAAGAAAATCACTTCCCCCAGAAAATAATATAATAATTAATCATATTCAAACGCTGGTTACCTCCTAATTCTTTATAGACAACAATAAACAAACAAGAAATCTTTGAATGATATTTTTTTTTCACTGATTATATTACCATCATG